CTGTTAAGGGAAATGAACATTTTGGATTTATGAAAATTGATTTTTTGTCCAGACATATCACAAAACTCAAAGAGCACTTCCATAATACAATCACAGCTACTTCTATTAGCTTTAGAAAATAAGATCAAATCATCAGCAAAAAAAACAAGTCGAAAATGGGAGGGCTATTATTAGAAGCCTTGAGGCCCTTTCATTTTCCACTTTCAGTTTTAAGTCTAATCATATTGGAGAGATTTTCCATGCAAAGAACAAACAAGTAGGGAAGAGAGGATCCCCTTGCTTGACGCCTCTCTCCATGCTAATGCTAGATAAGGCCTCCCCATTCCAAATTATAACAGAGTTGACATTAGACACATAGTTCATGATAAGGGTGATCCAGTCAAAATTAAGATTGAATTCTTTAAGCTTTTTCAAAGTTAATTTTAATGACCATACCACTAGACTTACCTTTTTTTACATCTAAGTGTATGAAGGATCTCTTGGGTTATGACAATATTATTAGTGGTGGTTCTTCCGGGGATGAAGCTACTTTGGTTGGGACTGATGAGATCAGAGAGGAGAGGTCTGAATATGCTCACTATGATTTTTGTGATTGTTTTATAGATGACATTGCAGAGGCTTATGGATTGTCCAACTTGGGCATAAGAACAATAAGGGTTTCATTTATTTCTTCGGGCACATTTTTACAATCTTTAATGAAATGGAAAACATAGGTGCTAATAGTATTTCAGTGGTTGTGGTAGAAGACAGCTTGTAGGCCATCTTTCCCGGGGCTTTGAAGGCTTTTATGCTTCTAATGGCATTCCATATTTTAGTATTGGATACAAGGGTAAGGAGTCTATCACTGTCTTCAAGAGTGAATTTGGTTCTAGCAATGTTAATCCAATTATTCATAAGGTGTGTTCCCTCATGTTGGAAAAGCTTACTAAAATGGTCCATTATGTGGGCTTTGAGGTCATTGTTATTTGAGAGTTTCTATATTTCAATCTGAATGATTGGCTCTGGTTAGAGCCAACTCATTTTCATCATGGTCAGTTCTATGTACAAATACCTTGCGTATTTTTATTTTATTTTTTTTAATTGATAGATGATTAATTACAAATATAAAAAATATTAAATCAAACTAAACAATTAAAGTCCAAAATACAATACAATCCCCATAATCTGAGGGACAAATAAATATTATAAAAACTATCAAACTTATTTTCTCTCAAGAATATTATGAAGTTCTACCCAGTTTTATTATCAACAGTAAAGTTTTATCGTCATCATCACCATAATAGAGTATATTAATTTGTGTTTTGGTGGGTAGTGGGTATGAAGAAGTCCATAGAATTTTTGTTTAACAAATGGCAGATAAGCATATATGCTTTCCAGAAATGTAACTAAAACAAAGATTATAATAAGAACAAAATGAGCTTTTTATTTTATACTATTATTATTATGTCTCATCTCTTCAAACTTTGATTAGTGATTGCAGATACTTTGCCATCTCGATAGAGAGGTTATTTAGGGGTAATGTTCTACACAACTTGATGCTGAACACTTATTAAATTATCTCCTAACATCCTAATAAAAAGTAGTGAATTTCACAATTTTAACTAATAATATTAAATAAAATAACTATTTGTTCCATATAAATAAAATAACAATAATAATAAAAATATAGATCTTTTGGTTGATTCCAAAATGGTAATGTCAAAGTCTAATTTTAGTATATTATAAGGAATAAGTTGATAATATCATTTTAATTACGAAATAATAATATTAAAAACAGTAACTAGTGTATCAATAAATGTACCAACTGAATACAATAGGGGAAATTACTATTCAGTAGTGTCAGCAAAATAAATTATTACAAATTTATTGTAAAGCTTATAATTTTAATTATTAATATTTATAATGTTTGCCATCTATTTGCAATTACTTTTTGCCGACATCATTGTGTTGTGATTTGCCCAATACAATTTTAAGTGTGTCCCACGTCAAGTGATGGATCCTATATGCATGCTTTGTATGTTTTATTTGTTGCTACACTTAGTTATGCTCTATTTAGTTCGTTGGGATGCAATGGAATGCAATAAAATAGTGATTCCTTAGCATTTCTTATGGAATGATGATTATTTAAGAAACATGATGAAAGATGATTCTAATTGTAATGCATTTGTCATTTTTTTTTTTAGTAATTCTGAAAGCACCGTGGAGAGGACGAATCTGTCTTAAGGACACAGTGTCAAACACTGGACTTGATCAGAAAAATAATTCGAAGAAATTAAATCAAGTAAGTATTTAATTTACTTTCAGTGTTGTTTTTATTTGTTTATTTATTCAGATTTTAATTTTGTTTTTGTAACAAAATAAAATCTGTTTTTTATTTATATATTTTTATTTCAAGTTTGATTTTTGTAATCAAACATATTCTCTCCTTTTCTTTATTTCTTTATATTCTGGTTGTTGTTTAGTACACAACAGAATTTAATTAATTTTAATACAGTGAAGATTGCCTAACAAATTCAACGGAGTCAATTCAATGATTATTATCAATGTCATTTTGTAAAATTTAGTTCTACATAACATATCAAAATTAACTTTCGCATAATACATTGTGTATTAAGAATCGTGTCATGTGTAATTTTAGATATTAAACACAAATTTTAAACTGTATTAACTAGGTTCAGTTGGTAAGGCTCCCAAAAATATTTTTTTACTTGTAATTTCATTAGGGCAATTTGTGAAAGGAAAAAGTACATACCAATGGATTTCTATAAAATTAATTACATATTAATGATAAACGTTCTTAATATTAATTATTAAAATCATAAGTTTTTCAATATGTGTAATTATTTTTTAAATGGTATTTTCTCTTTGTAAAACATAAAATATTTCAGATAAAATTCTACGTTTATTTTTTTTTTTAAATTAAAATTGATTGGTGTCAAACACCACACAACACAATGTGCTTTACTTTAGCACACAATTCACATTCTATGAGAAGATTGGTAATTTTCTTAGAACCACAATTATGTTTTGACGGTTTTTGTAATTTGTGTATACTTTCTTGGTTGGCCCTTTGAGGTCTTATTATTTTTCTTTTTCTTGATTTGTATTTATTTTTATTTAAATATAAATGTGTTATAATTTATTTCAAAAAAAATCACTTTTTATGCATATTTTCTATCAAAAATTCTATATTCATATTGTTATATGGATTGGAATTATAAACCTTCCATTTGGCAAGTGCTCATCGATCATCGTCGTAATCATTATATATATGTATAATAATAATAATTTTTGGTCTTATGTATCAAGTATCAACAATCATGTACCCTAAGGTATCTGAATATTTTTTGGGGCTTATGTCCAATTGCAATTTGAAGAGACTGCTGCGCACCATGCACAGTAGTCACTGTTACGCGGTCAATAAAACTTTTTTCAAGTTTTATTTTGACGATTTGAATTGTTCAGTTTTTAGAAGACATCGCATAAAATGTACTTATAAAAACTCAAGTTAATTGGATATTGGCATCCTTTTCATCAAGTCATGTTTGTATTCAGATTTATATTGAAAATTAACTTTATCATTCAATTTTTTAGATATAAATATGTCTTGATCAAAGGAATATCAATATTCGATGAACTTAAATTTTTTCAAATATATTCTACTCGATATCTTTTAAAAAGTGACGGTTCGAATCATCGAAATAAGATCTGGAAAAAGCCCCATTGATTACACAACAGTGACTAATGCGCATGATCCGCAACAGCCACCCCAAACCTATCAAATGGTTCATTGAAAAAAGTGAACATCAAATGCACACGTGCAGTGGGTTACTAATTTTTGTGGGAGACGATTGATCTTGACTTAGTGCTACTTAGGCTATAATTTAAACAATTTGTCTGTATAATTTTATACTTCAAAAAAATTTAAATAATATTTCATAATAATTTAGAGAGTTTTTGTGTAAATAACTCTTACGCTGAGTTCAGACTTTGGGTTGGCTTTTTTTTTTTCCAAATCCCTGTGTTTTCATGACCCAGGCCTAACTACCATGTATGGGCCAACTGCCTTTTTTCGAGGTGAGCATCAGTTGGGTGGACATGGCATAAGCAGGTAGAGGTGTTTATTTTAGTTCAGAAAAAGGTAGAGACGTTTATTTTGGACTTGTTTTATTGCAATTTTTATGGACTCCACAAATGGACTCTTTATTTTATTGCAATCCACTATGTACTTTGTACTATGACCAACATTTTTATTTTAGTTTCTGTATTTTTAGTTGTAACAATTCAAAATTCATCCAATATCCACTGTTAATTTTAATTGTTATTACATGCCCTAATAATTTAGAGAATGCTTTACCCGTTTTTTGTTTTGGTCTTTGAGATTTCACCTACCCTGATGGGTGAGAGAGAACTAGTATTACCAGATATCCAAAGTTGCAGGAGTTCTCATTTATCAAAAATTTATGAACCTCTATTTTGTTTTGCGACAATTAAAGCATAGAACCCTGTCCCATGCTGCCCCTCCACTAGGACGACCTCTGAAAATGTGAATTCGACAGGGAATCAGACGGCATCTAGAGAGCCCGTCAGATATATGAAGGTTGCCGGTATCATTTCTGACAAATTGGCTCCACAATCTTACATCTATACGATGGATACACCTTCAAATCTATTTAATGCTTTGTTTGGTTGCGAGATTTAGGTAGAGATTCAAAAAAGGGAAAGAAAAAAAATGTGTGAAACTATGTGAAATATAAATATGTTTCATTCACATTTCACCTACCTTTTTCATTTTTCTTTCCAAATCCCTCTCCAAATCCCCCAGCCAAACACGCCATAAAAGTCGTCCATTTTGGGTCACATAAAAATTCCAGTAAATAGCAAATAAGAGGACCCATGCAATAGTAAGTTTGTTCTTTTTTTCTTCTTTCCTTCTGTTCATGTATGAAACACAGCCAAAAAAACAAAAGAATCATAACTGCATAAACAACAAAATATCATCAGAAACTGACTTAGATATCCCCTATCCTCAAAAGGGGTCATATTGAGGAAGAAGAAAACAACCAAATGTAATAATTTACAAGCTTTTCCGGGTTGCCAGCAGCAAGCCACCATTAGTGTTGATTGGTCAATTAGAAGCTTATGCATTTGCAATCAGTACTTGATCACGTGGTGGCGTAACCAGAGGTCATACATAACCAAATGGAAAGCATCATATTTGATGGGAGGTGAATTCCACTGGAAGTGCTTTTGGACCTGAAAAAATAAAAATAAAAATAAAAAATGGCATGAGAAGAAATTCTCCGCAAGTACTATAAATTCCTTGATCTATCCATGTCTTAATCAAGTTGTGGATTACAAAAAAGAAAACAAAGGCACTTCTTGTAAAAACATCATTATGTCTTTTCACTCTATCCTTTTGACTGGCAAAATATAAAATAAACACCATTTTAGATAGGCGAAAGGTTTTTAAAAATGGAAAGTAGTCCTTTTTTTCACATCCAAATATTTTAATGGCAAGTCTAATACTTCATATGAACTTTCCAAGCAGTAATGCAAAGGTTTCTACCTTAACTAGATTTTTGTGCAAAGCAACAAATTCAGCATCAGATATGTCCTTTAGTATTTGCTTCAGCTGATACACATCAATCTCCTTGAGCACAACCGAAAATTTTTGCCAATCAAGAATGTCATTGAATGGCAGATCATAATAATTGGACAGTATTACTGCAGAAAAAGTACCCAAAAAATTAATTAGACAAACAATCCAGAAAGCATTACTAGGAAAGATAAAACCACTAGGGAAAAATAAATAAATAAAAGATGTAATCCTAGAAGGGGAGGCAATTGCTCTGGAAATTTCACAAATACCCTATCTTATTTTGCATAATACTTTAGAAACTCAACAGGCTTGTGATATCACTTAAATCATCGCGGTTTAGTATGCATTCCTATAGTTGTCTAGTTGACTACTTTGTAACATAAACATAGCAGTTTGTTTTTGTTAAAGAGTAGCAAACAAGAAATGGCAGAACTTAACGGTATTCCAACTATTTCCACAAAACCACAGGGCATCTCATTTATTCCAAACTGAAACTATAAGGAGGTACGCCAAGTTTAGATGCAAAAGAAGATGCAAATTTTAGAATCTCCCTCAAACATAATTACTATTTAAATAATGCGGAAAAACAAATGTAATGCAATCATTAGTGCATTGCGTTTACATTGTGTAACAGAGGCATTGACAAATAAGTGCACCCTGCAAATATGCAGGACGGAATCCCCTAGTGTTCAGGGACAGATGCCCTGGCAGATGAAGGCACTAATATGTTCCAAGAATTAATCTACAAGTACCTCTCGCCTGCACTTAATAATCTCCACATGATCTAGTCAATTGTTGCGAAGGACATGAGATGAGAAGATAGTAACAACCTTATTGCCAAGAACAGGAAATCTTCTCACTATCTCGGTGACCTAGGAAAACTATATTGGTGATCTAGGAAAATGTTGAAGACAGTAATCGTGTCGTGCTTGTCTGTTCTATCTCTATGTACATACTTAGCCTGGTGTGTGTTTAGCACCCCATCTGTATCATAACTATAAGGAAAGAGGAAAGAAAATGGTTACACAAACAACTTCATGCCTTATTCCAACTGCCAAGAAAGGTCTTACCGGGAATACATCCATAGTGAATTGAATCAGTTATTCGAGCACTGTTGACCTGAGAACCACCAGGACATATGCAGAACTTAGTCCTGTAAAATTTCTTTTGATATAACAGATGCCCAGTAGCCCTGTTTATTCTATTGTTCGAAATATCAAGCTCCGTATCATTCTCCCATACCCGTGCTAGTATAACTCTAATTTTCGAGTTCCTATGACCTGCCCAAAAACCCAGAGTTGTCCTGCAAAATATGATTATTGTTAGTTTAAGCAATGACCTGAAACGTATGGTTCCATCCATACCACAAAAGTCACAATCATTTTTCATATGCTAAACTAGAATCTAATCAACCCTCTCCAAAAACAAAATGAATTCCAGTCTGTTCAGAATAGGGAATTTTAAGAAAATACCAAATCCAAATCAAGGACCATAAGTCTCAGTTTGGTTAAAATGAAAAGACTATTAAGAAGTAAAAATATAAGACAGTGAAGTGAATGCAAGGAAAGTGAAAAGAAAAGTAACTTTTCAACATGAATTTGGTAAAGAACGATTTCATCATTTGAATCGCATGAAAGTCTAAAATAATATTTCGTTTACTTGCGTCTAAATTACCCAAAACGATGTCCATATAAAAGAAGTTGATTTGAAGACAATAAATAAAATGGGAATCCTAACAATTGATAACAACATTTATGGGAATTTTTTTTATTTTTTTTTAAATTCTGTTTTTTGCAAGAAAAGATAAGCCATGTTTTTCTAGAAAATTAAGCCCTTACATGGTTCCCTTTCTCATAAACCAAACTCGTAAAAAACTATAGATTATGTTCTCTTATCTTTTACTTTCCAAGACTCCCCACCTAAACAAACAGGGCCCAGAGTGCAATGTTATAGAAGGACATAAGGGACTCCATGCAAGTCTTTGTCTCAAGTGCAATAAATCTGGCGATTGGTATCCATGCAGGAACATTGATGTGGGATGACCAACTTTAGTTTGATATTCTTGAAAACATAAGTAGAAGCTATGAACCATAGAACAAAGGTAGACCAGAATCCAAAGAAGAAATGTAGAAGAGCAGAATGAACATTATTGACATAAGGAAATAGATGCAAACAAAGGCATAAAAATCAAAAAGACAAAATGAAAAGAAGGTAGTGCCATACTTTGCTGGATAAAGCAACTGGAGCAAATAAATGTAGGAGACCACTTCTACAAGTGATAGATTTACCAAAGAAATTCTATCAAATAATAATAGATAATAAAAAAATCCATTTTACCACCGTGTTTGGTATAAAACCAATTGCAACCGTCACATTTTCTGTCCAAACTGACATAAATTGTGACATGAACATGTCAAGAGAGTTGGGAAGAATTTTTTTTAGTTGAAGTCAAATTCTATTGTGAAAATATAAGATTCCGCTTATATCTTCAACCTCTAACTAATTGAAAACCCTAACCCTAACCTACTCACCCCCTCTCACCACCACCTGCCACCTTCCTCCTTCCTGCACCACTCACCACCTGCTGTCTCCCTGTCATCTTCCCACCTCCCCGCCACCCATCCCTCCTCCCCCACCTCCTTGCTACTTCCAGATTTGATGGACTTGCAGCAGCAGAGCAAATCCCTCAACAAGTAAAGGCCATGCTGAAGATAGTCAGCTCCATTCAACCCGCATTCAAGAGGCTATGGCAACAAATTATTCAGTTAGGGAAGCCGATTTGAATGCTATGAGAATCAAGGAACAGGCTTATTCGAGTTTTATAATGGAGTTTTCAATGGAAGTAGAAAAATTAATAAAATTCAAACCATTAAGAACTAACCCCACGATGGAGTTCTCCACTTGAATCTGCTAGACCAATCAAGCCCCCATTTCTTATGTGATTTTGGAATGAACTCGTTTTTTTTCTTTTTCTTTTTTTGCTTGGGGGAGTTCTTATGCCAATCAAGCCCCCATTTCCTTTTTTGCTAGGGTTTTAAAGATCACACTACTAGAATTTTAGAGACAACTAAATATGATAGCAATTATATTTTAATAGATAAACATCCAATAAAATATAGTTATAAATTAATTATGAAAAACACAATTCTAGAAACATTATGGCCCTTTTGTTTTACATTTGGTCATGCATATTCCATTCTCTCTAGATTTAAAAAAATTTAAGAAACTATATAGGAAAAATTTTGGGATCGCTAAATTTTCTGTTTTGGTACGAAAGTATGTACCATATTTTGAATCGTGTGTTCCAAAACATAAATTGCTGAGATATTAGCATTTTTGGGTAACAATGGTTCAAATCCTTGTGTACAATCATTAACATGTCGAGTCCATAAGGGTCTAAATGAGATCCCAGCCATACCATGGCTAGTTCAATAACATCTTCATAGAAAATTAGCCTCATTGTTATATATGTATTCAAATTGTTCATCCATGGTTTACCTTAATACACATCTTCACAACTTGCACATAAATAAATAGATAAATAATTATAAAAATAAAAATAAAAATAAAAAACCTCACAATTTGCCAATAAGCGACCATAAATTTGTTTAAAATACATGGAAATTTAAATTCACAAAATGTATTGTGAATATCTTGTATTGATCAAAATTACGTTTGCCACATTTTCAACACGAATCACTCTAAATGTCAAATAACTTATGTGAACTTCTTATGGAAGACGATAATACACAATACATTGCGAACCATTTCTGCAAACACAAAAGCCCATGTTAATGGCATGATAAAGAGGGTAATTAAAACTAATCAAAGAACTTTCTCATCATTTTTTTTCTTCTTCAAGTGCATCATGACGCTATGCTTTGAAGTAGTATGAATCCAATGCTTCAGAGTTAATAGGTTCCTTTCTCAAGGTGAAGAAAGGAATAAAAACTGGCTGGTAGGATTTTTCAAGTAGACTAGCAAATCTCTAGATGAAACAAAAATTTATTTTCAGGAATATTGAGTTATTGAAAATGAAGTCAAGAAAGAACCTATATTAAGAGTAGGAAAGTATCAATTAAATAAATAAATAAAAGAAGGAAGGAAGAAAGAAGGAAATTGAATCTTGAGAGCAGACTGTATTAACAATTCATTAGCTTAGATCAGCATGATTAAGTAAACATTCCACAGTTTTACCTGTTTTCCACATCATTTCCTCCAGCTGGAAGAGCAAATGGTTGCAGCACTTGAGGGAGAGCAATGTCTTTGTGTGGAATAAATCCCACATCATAACTTGGGGAGCACACAACTCGAATTGAATTCTTTACCAGAAGTGGAAGTCCTTCAGTTGCCCTTACACCAACATCATGACAAGTAACGAAAAAATGATCTGCACCCAGTGTTCTATTCCAGTAAGGATACTTGGATATTAAGCTCTCCACGTAATTTTGAACAATTATGGTCATGTTTTCATAGGACGTTCCCTGCATACCATCATGCAAGTATCATATACCTAGGTAAGAGACCAAAATCCTATCTGGGAGAAGAATAATTGACAAAAAAAAATTAACAACCCAATGTAGTAGTAATTATTTACATCCTTCACAAAATCATTCCACTACAGAAGAAAAATATGGTTAGTGAATTTGGACATAGATGCCAATACTTGCCAAACATGGTCACATGAGGAGTGAAGAAACAACTCTGAAAAATTGTGAGCTTGATCTCAAGATTGGGAACGAATATTACCTGAAATGCAAACTTTACATGAAACAGCAAAGGAGAAGTAGCAAACTAAATAGACCTAAGAAGCGTGGAGATGGACACAAGACACAATGATTTTCAAAAATTGCGATATGGATACAACAGAAATACGAAAATAAATTTTTTTACATATTTTTATTTGCTATGTATATGAATACAATAAACTTGGGGCACATTTATAAAAGGCATCAATTACATGTGGGTGTATCTTTGTTATGCTTTCACTTTCTCCCCCTTTTGTTTTCATATATTTTTGTGACCTAAAGCATGTTTAGACACGGGACACAAATGTCCATGAAATATCTGAATGTGTCGTCCAAAAAATAATAATTAAATAAAATTTACACCCCATGTGGCATGTCCGACACATGGACATGCATGCCCACAGCGTGTCTGTCCGACATGTGTACTACATGGACACGAAAACAGCCCATTGTGAGATGTCTACGTTTCCCAGAAACATGATAAAATGCATATTGCAGGGTTGGATATAATGTTTATGAATCGACTGATATTCAAGCATCTCTCACTCAATGATATCACACACGTACATAAACTTCGTTAAAGATCTGCATGACAATATATATGATTTGAGCATTTGCGGTAAAAAATTAATTCACCAAATGCAGTAAGCATACTGATTCTTGTCAACCATGGGATGGCCCCACATGCACAGCAAAAAGAAAACTCAATCATGTAACAAAATAAAAATACAAAAATTATGGCATACACATTAATACTCACATCAATCTTCCTGGGTAAATATTTCCCACAACAGTATAACTTCTAAACACTCTATTAGACTGTTGCCAAAATTAGGCAAATAATAATTCATACAACATATAGTCATCATACCCGTCTGCATGCAGTCGTAAAACAGCACTAATAAGCAGGGCTCGCAATGAAATGTACAACCGAAGCCCGAATCTCCTTTTCAATGGTTATATATATATTATATAATGCAGTAGCACTCGCACTTATAATCAACATAAAAAATACCAAACTTCAGATTGAGCCAAAAATCTTCCTAGCAAACCAAGTTGGATGTGTAGAATCCTGTCAAATTCAGATGATTGAATTAACCATTTTCCCAGACAATTTAGTCATTATTAGATGTATACACACTCGCTATTTAGCAGCAAATGCTTGATTGCTTCAAGTTTGTATCTCTCACCACAATAAATCATTTTTCTTTTGTCAAAAATTAACAGTACCACTGTCCTGATCCTACAAAACACTGTTAAGCATGCAATTCATGACACAAAAAGATCAAATTGAATCTCTAAAATGCACAAAATCCGTCAAATAGAGTCGGAAACAACGTACCTTCCCTCTCATCTTGTGGCATGAGATGGGGATGAAGAACAGGTGAGCCTGATCTGGATCATCCGTACGGAATGGAGAGTCTCTAACATTCTGAAAGAAGTAACCCTCGCTAGCGTACTTGCCGGTGAGCTTCCTCGGAGTCTGGTAGAAAGTATTGGGGTCTCCATCAGGATATATAAAAACCTTGAATTTGTTCTCCATCTCCGCATAGTTTAGCCTGAAAATCTGGGGCGAATGATACACATCCGAATAATCCTCAAAATCATGATCTGCGAGCACCTAATGGAGAATGAAATCAGTGAGAAAGAATTAAGCGGGAAAAGAGTGGGAAAGTGAAAGAGAGTACCTTGGAAGGAGAAGCGAGGATAGGGTTTGGAGGAGTTGAGGAGTTGGGTTGGGGAGGGAAGTGGGTGGATTTCAGAGAGAGGTAAGTGAAGGAGATTAGGGTTAGAATTGCGAGAGTGACTAGTGCTCCGCGAATAGAGAAGACGGCTGAGGCAGGTGGCGGTAGGGCAGCCTTCGCCGCCATCATTGGTGGAAAACCTTCGCCGGAAAGAAAACTGGATCTACTTTTTGCTACAGAGTCTTTCTTTGTTACTAGTAAAGTAGAGGGTTGAGTGAGTGGAATGTGATGTGAGGTACTACAATTCAATTCTTACAAACACAAACACTCTGAATCAAATTGGATTTCAAACGCGGAAAACAGATCAATGGATTTATATAGAGGAGATGGGACTTAAGTCTTCAACGATACATATTTGATTTAGATGGCTTCTTTTCTACCAATTATTAAGGCTATGTTTGGCCGATAAGCACAGCAATAACTGTTATGTCTCCATTTGAGATTTATTATGAGTTTATTTTTATGATTTGAATTGTTTATTTTATAGGATTCGTTAAGTACTTCATACTTATCAAAAATCATATTAATCGAATATCAATAATTATATAATCGAATTATATTTATCATAAAAAAATTAAACAATAAGTTTTTCTTTTAAGAAATAGCATAAAAAATATGCAAATCGATCACATAATTATTGATATCGGATGAATATAATTTTGGACAGGCATGAAGTACTCAACAAATCCTATAAAATAAACGGTTCCGATCATAAAAATAAATCTATAATAAATCTCAAATTACGACACAATAGTCACTTTTGTGCCAAAGGCACAGCAGTAACCCATACCCATGTTTGGTATGTTGGTTTTGGATTAAAATAAAATAAATTAAAAAGTCAATAAAACAAAAATATCATAATCAAATCATGATCATTTTATTTTATCTCTCACAGAAATCAAAAAAAAATCAAAAAAAACTTATACCAAACGAGATTTTTTTAGATTCAGACTGAAATAATTAAAAAATCAACCCATATCCCAAACAAAGACTAAGGTTACTATATGGTTAAAACATAAATTTTAAGAATAATAATTTATTCCCTTATTTTATTCCTCCAATTAGAGGTTATTAGGCGAACTTATTGGTAAGGGCGCAGGTGGTGCGGTGCGGTGCGGTGAGGGTGTGTGTGAGAGTAAAATTACCAATCAAATGGTGGATTAGCAGATTAATAAATTGTAATTTGAGCAATTTTTAGCGGATTGATGAATTGAAGAATATTCTACTTAATTATCATATATTTGTATAATATATAACACCAATTTGTATAATATTTTTTAGATATATAACATAAAGTAATTTTACGTAATATATTTCATATATAACTACTAATTTGTAATAAACTTCCTATCTTATATCTCTCTCTCACATTCGTTTTTACATTGATATTTTATTGGAAGTTAAAAAACATATATTTATTAACTATAACAGAGCAGAACGTTTCGGTTGACGGATTATAAATTTTAAAGTTTAAACCGCAATTAGCAATTAGAGCGGTACGAATTTATGCAAATTGATGCAGTTTTAGTGGATTGAGCAGTATTTTGCACATCCCTACTTATTGGTTGGTTTTGGGTAGGGGTGTTCGCTGATCGGTTTTGTGCGGTTTGCGGTTCGGTTTTGACCCGCCCGCATCTATGCGGTTTGGGAAAAAGTCAACCCGCAACCGCCCGCAGTGCGGTTTGCGGTTTGTGCGGATAGGGTTTGCAAATGTGCGAGCTTATAAAAAATTTTATCCTTACATACGTATTATAAATCAAACCATTCATAACCTAAAAATGATTTATATTTACGAAAATTATAAAAATTATATAATTAATTATTATAAATTATTATTATATATAAAAATTATATTATTTCAATGCTTGAGTGTTGTGGGTGTGCCCATTGGTGTGTGTGTGTGTGTGAGTGTGTGGGTTGGCTTTGGGTGAATGAAGTAGAAACGCCATTTCAAATGGCGTTTTTTAAAAAAAAAAAAAAAAAAATTATTATATGCATAGTAAAATCACTATTTTAAATAGCGTTTTTTTGCAAAAAAAATTTCTTAAAATCGCTATTATGAATAGCGTTTTTTTGCAAGAAAATTTTGTGTGAAAATCGCTGTTGAGAAAAGCGTTTTTATCCGGACAAAAAGTAAAGCTAGAAGCGCTATTTGCAATAGCGACTTCTTAATCAAAGTCGCTATTTGTAATAGCGACTTTCCTGTTCATCTACTTTTACGGTCCTAACAGTAAAAGCGCGAATAATAATGGCGCTTTAACTTAGTTTTGGAATTCCGTCAGAAGTTGGCCTAGTTTTGGAAATACAATGGAAAAATGGCTTATATTGGGAAAAGCCCCGATGGGAAAGCCTTTAACGATTGGTTTGGTTTAGTTACATACTTGATTTATTAGATGGCTTCTTTTCCACCAATTATTAAGGCTATGTTTGGCTGATAGGCACAGTAATAACTGTTGTGTCTCAATTTGAGATTTATTATGAGTTTATTTTTATGATTTGAACTATTTATTTTGTAGAATTTGTTGAGTACTTCATGTCTACCAAAAATCATATTAATTGGATATTAATAACTATATGATCGAAATACATTTATCATAAAAAAAAAAATTAGTAAGTTTTTCTTTTGAGAAATAGCATAAAAAATATGCAATCCGATCGCATAGTTAGTGATATCCGATGAATATGATTTTTGGTAGACATGAAATACTCAATGAATCCTACAAAATAACGGCTCCGATCATAAAAATAAATTCATAATAAATCTCAAATTGAGACACAACAGTCATTATCGTGCCAAGGGCACAGCATTAACCTCATACCCATGTTTGGCATGTTGGTTTTGGATTAAAACAAAATAAATTAAAAGGTCAATAAAATAAAAATGTTACATTCAAATTATAATCATTTCATTTTATCTCTCACAAAAATCAAAAAAGTCAAAAAGTCTATACCAAATGAGATTTTTTACCCTCGGACTAAAATAGGTAAAAAGTCAACCCACATCCCAAACAAAGGCTAAGGTAAAAATATATGGTTAAAACATAAATTTTAAGAATAATAATTTATTCCCTTATTTTATTCCTTCAATTAGAGGTTATTAGGCGGACTTATTGGTAGGGGTGTGTACGGTGCAGTACGGTTCAGGCAGTATGAGAGTAAAATTACAAATCGAATGACGGGTTAGTGGATTAAAGGATTAACAAATTGCAATTTAAGCAATTTTTGGCGAATTGGTGGATTGAAGAATATTCTAACTAATTATCATACATTTGTATAATATATAACACCAATTTGTATAATATTTTTTAGATATATAACACAAAGTAATTTTACATAAATATATTTTATATATAACTATTAATTTGTAATAAATTTAATATCTTAAATCTCTCTCACACACTTATTTTTACATTAATATTTTATTAGAAGTTAAAATATATATATGTATTAACTATAGCAGAGCGGAGTGTTTCGGTTGATGGATTATAAATTTTAAAGTTTAAACCGCAGTTAATAATTAGAGCGGTATGGATTTATGCAAATTGGTGCTTTTTAATAGATTTGACGGTATTTTGCACATCCCTACCTATTGGTTGGTTTTGGAGACTTTTAAGTGGTGCTTTAAGGATGTTATGGTTAGTGAAAGAGGTCAAATCTATAATGTTTGTAATTGGTGAGGAGTACCACCACGCTGTGGCCCAAGATCAATTAATAATTTTTCAATTATAAGATAGAGAGGAGTGTCGGACCACCTCACACAAGAGTGGGTTCCATCATTAGAAGTAGAGTTAAAAGGACAAAATTAAGGGATGTAACACTACTCAAATTTTATTTTATTTTTACTTTTTGGAAAAGCCTATGGTGTGTATCCCAGCATATCATATGCACCCTACTATAAATTAAAATAATTTTATCATAAAATTTCGTAACATCAATTACAAAATGTATAATATTGTCACAAATTAACATAATAATTTGGTTATAATATTTTTTATTATATCAATTTGTGATAAGATTACATATTTTTTTATCAATATTATAAATTTTTGTGATAAAATTACATATAAAGTACATATAATATGCATCCCTTAAAAAATATACACCAAAAAATTTCTCTTTTTCTTTATTTTTATTTTTTTATTTTTTTTATTTTTTATGATACGATGTGCACCATAAAAAATGCACATCGTCAAATTTTTGTGATACCATTTTTGGTTTTTTCCTACACCAAACACAAACCACATTCACCTTAAATAGCCATCACTCCGCGCGGTACATTTGTCAACACTGGGCATGTTTAAATAAAAAAGAGATTGCAATTTATTAGATTGTTAATTTTAGAATATATAGGTTGATTATTTAGTTATAAATGATATGTATTCTATGTTTATTTAATTATGAGATTAAATTAATTATTTTTAAAATTGATTTTTATTTTTTATTTTTTTCACAAAACTAATTTTTTATTTTTTTTCTTAAAAAAAAAAAAAAACTTTAAAATTAGTTTCTAAAAACTAATCCACACATGTCCTAAATATTTGAAAGAAAAAATTAGTTTTTTAATATCTAATTCAAAGGAGGGCTTGTCTAAGGACTGTGTCCTACACCTCCCCACGACAAGATAATCCCAAATACGGGGAATTAAAAGTCCGATTAAACTATTTATCCAACCTACAATTTTTTAACCAAACAACAAATTACTCAATATGGTAGACATGAAGTCTAATCTCTCCTTTCAAGCTCTCCAAACAAACACCCCCAAACTATACATTGCCAATATTAAACGATTAGATGGCACCACCGAATTGGTTTACCGGAGGACACCGTTGGATTGTCATCACCATCACTATTGAGCAAAGACTTTTTAGGCCCCGTTTGTTTCCAGAGATGGAATTGAGGGGATTGATAGTGAGGGGATTAATAGTGAGGGGATTGTTAGTGAGGGTCGTTTGTTTTCAGAGATATAATGGAGGGGATTGATAGTGAGGGGATTAATAATGAGGGGATTGTTAGTGAGGGGATTGATAGTGAGGGGATTAGTAGTGAGGGGATTGATAGTGAGGGGATTAGTAGTGAGGGGATTGTACACCTACTACCACCTTCTTTTCTATTTATAGAAGTTGTAATTTGTAATCAAATTGAGATCAATCAATAAGATACATAAATTCTTACAATACTCCCAAATACGAGAGATTAAAAGTCCGATTAGACTATTTATCAAACCTACAATTTTTTAACTAAACAATAGATTACTCAATATATGGTGGACATGAACTCTAATCTCTCCTTTCAACCTCACCAAACAAACACCCCAAAACCGTACATTGCCAATATTAAAGGATTAGATGGCACTGCAGAATTGGTTTACCGGAGGACACCGTTGGATTGTCATCACCATCACTATTGAGCAAAGACTTTTTATTCTCACCTCTAAAGATACGTGATTCTCACCTCTAAATCTCACTTATCACATTTGATTTCGATTTGATTGGCAGTTTTGATTTCAATTTGATTCAACACTTAGTTGTCTGAATATAATATTATTATAGAACTAAATAAAATTGTACAAATTAAATGCGTATAAACTATTTATTTGGAATACAATTAGTGCTCGTTTGACAATGACTTTTTTAGTTGATTTTTTGACTTTTTTGACTTTTTTAACCTGAGGCCTCATTTGGCAAGTTAACATTTTAGCTAAAAAATTAAAAAATTACTAAAAAAGTCAAAAAGCCTATAACCTATACCAAAAAGTCAAAGATTCTTTTTTTTCTCTATTTTTTGTACATCATTTTGTAAAAAATAAAAAAATCACCCCAAACATACTAGTTTTTTTTATCTCATATTTTAGCCAAAAAGTCAAAAAGTTACTAAAATAGAGACTTTTTTAGTCGTTTGGTATTCTTATTTGGCTTTTTTGACTTTAGAATTGTGTTTTTTTTTTGTCTTTTTGCGATTTTTGTCCTTTTGTGATTTTTTAGTCCATCATGAAAACCAAACGACCCCTTAATAAGTTTAGATGTTTTATGTTTAACAAATTCAATTAGTTCGGACTCCTTATGTTTAATTTTTTAGGTATGACCAAGATACAATTTTGTTTAAAAAAAATATAAAAAACAAAAAAACAAAATACAATTCAACATTAATAATTTGAACAAAATATTTTTGTTCTGATGTAAACATTTGAACATTGTAAAAATGTTTAACTTTTTATTCGAACACATGTTGAACAAAAACATCCTAGAGACTAAACAAATGCGAAAAACAAATACAAAATAGAAAAATGTTTGAGCACCCGAAATCAGTGGCTCGAATTCGGCTCGAAACCCAAAACGACGTCGTTTTGGGTTTCAAATTTTTTTTTTCCTTCCTTTTCTTTCTTTTCTTCTTCTTCTTCTTCGTTTTGAACACAGGAGAAGAGAAACAGAGGCAAGAGAGAGAAACAGAGGCGAGAGCGCGAGAGGCGAGAGAGAGTCGTCGTAGCTCGTCGCTCGATGGTCGCAGCTCATCAGCCGATCGTCGCATCGTAGCCCGCCTCCGCCTCTGCCTCCACCTCCCGCCCGATTTTGATGGCCCCTCCAGTTCGGCTTCTTCTTCTTCCTCCTTCTCTTCTTCTTCTTCTTCCTCCTTCTTCCTTCTCAAATTCGAGCCAAATTCGAGCCAAGGCTTTCGAGCTCTGTAACGGGGTTGTACAAAATATCATAAGCAATAAACTCAGTTTTTCGTTGTTGCATTGTTTCAAATCAATAATTTGAATACCATTTTATGGTGTCAAATTTTAAAAAATGATTGATTTGAATGTTCCTAAATTCAAAATCTTCATAGTCAACAATGCTTTTAATAACAGAGAATAGAAGGAGCTGAACTTGTTGATTATGAAAGATATTATAAGTGTAATGTGTTAAATTATATAAAAATAATAGAGATCCCAAAAATTTTACCAAATGTCTCACATAAATGTGAGACCCACATGAGACCTATATTGTGTGGGTCTCACTTCCATGTGAGACATTTGATAAAAAATTTTGTAAAATATTTGAACTCTCTAGTATCACTCTAAATTATAATAAAGAAGATGATAGGTGTTGGAAGATGATGATGATGTAAGATATATATTTACAAGTAATGATATGCAAATAAAATTTATATTTTGAGATTATATTATTTGAATTGGTAGAACACACACCACTATAATAAAATTCTACTGTTAATATAATATATATTGAAAAAAAGCGTGGTATATAAATATAATTTTCCCTAGTTAAATCGGATGTGCATTTTTTATTTTTTGTTTTAAACTTTACAAAGTTACACTAGCCTAATTGAAGAGAGAAATAGAAAGCATATCAAACTAATTTTCATTGTGGAGTTTGCGAGCATATCATTGTGGTATAAGGTCGTATATAGATATATTCATCCAAAATCATATTATTCTTAAGAAATTAATGGCAAATGAAATTACAAAAATAGAGCATTTACTTTTTAAAAAAATATGATTTGATCATCGTGAATTTTTATATAAATATTTTATTTAATAAATCTTAAAAATTGAATAATTTAAATCATTAAAAGTAAACTGTGAAATGGTCCACCAAACTTCTCTCCTGTATTCAACTCAAGAAAATTTAAGTTAGAATAAAAATCTAAGAATTAAGGATAAATCACACTTTCCATCCTTATAATTTGACACAAATTTTATTTTAATCTTTATTGCTTTAATTCAAACAATACTAATAATAAATTTCAAGAGTAGTTTCAATTTAATTCTTCTATCTTAATTATAACAAAATAACCAATTTGAAATTGATCTTAAAATCTAAAAATTAATATTGTTTAAATTAAAATAATAGAGATTAAAATAAGATTTGAATTAAACTAAATGGTGAAAAATGTAATTTAACCAAGAACTTTATTTATTTATTTGTTTGTTTGATTTGATGATGATTTCAAATTAATGGAATTTACTTAAAACAAAAAATTCAAAATTTCAAATATTTGATCATTCCAGAGAGAGACATAGAAGAGCCTAGATCTAATAGTCACCGCTGGATAACATTAGTAAAAAAGTGACGAGTAACAATATTTATTAGACTACACCTTAAAGCATCTCACAGTTAATTTATGGTGTGTTTGGTTGGGGGATTTGGGGAGAGATTTGGAAATAAAAAGGGAAAAGGTGTGTGAAACTATGTGAAATATATACCTATTTTATTCACATTTCACCTACCTTTTCCATTTTCCTTTCCAAATCCCTCACCAAATCCCCCGACCAAACACAGCATTAGACTCTCAAGCTTGGGAATATCATAACTCAAAACAATTGTCACCTGTACACTTACCTTGCTGCTGCCATGTATGAGGCATTTCAAAACCTTTTTTTTTTGAACCGGAGGCATTTCAAAACTGTTCCAACAAGAAATGCAAATTAAAAAGCATCTTGTGGCAATGCCAATTTTCAGTGATGAAATGAAGCGGGCATAAGGAATTAAGGAAAAAGATTACAAAATTCACATTTATGAAAGGATCCTGTAAAACCTTTTTCTGCATTTTATGGTCTACTGCCAATTTCCTTGAACAAAAAAATAAAAAAAAATAAATCATGGCATGAAGGTCGAATACTATATCCTCTGAGACGTCGGCATAGTCAGTGACACTCCTTGGTCAGGGTATTCATCCACTGATAACAGTTGGTGTGAAGTATAGATCCTCTGATGTTTTGCAGGAACGAATAAACTGTCAGATGTTGATGGCATACCATCATCATTTGTCTGGATTGCTGACGCCGGCATATACACCTTCTCCGAACTCAAAGGCATAATAGCATCACTCCTTTGAGAAGAAATCATGCTTGTGTTCATAAACATTCTCTCAGAAGTTGGATGCATCATTGTGTCATTCCTCAAAGACATTAGACCCATGCTGTCACTCCTGTGAGATGTAGGCATGTACACCCTCTCAGAATTCCGATGAATAGTAGTATCTGTCCTAAGAGATGGACCAACGTTTTCATTCCTATGAGATATTGTAGGCATGTATACCCTCTCCACAGTCGGATACATATTAGGGTCCGTCCTAGATATAGGACCAGCACTGTCATTCCTGTGAGACACTGAAACCATAATGTCATTTATGTTAGATGTGGGCATATACACCCTCTCAGACGTTCGAGGCATGGATACTGACACTTCTGGGCCCGGCAATTGTCTTTCCGTTGCTAGAGGCAAATGTAGCGGCATTTCTTGGTTTGTTGAATCCCTCTCAGAGGTAGCTGGGCTGGTCAGTGATACTACCGGATTTGGTATATCCCTTTCAGATGTTGGAGTTAGGGACAGTGATCCTTTATGGCTTGGTAAATCCCTCTCCCATGCTGAAGGCATTGCTGGCGACATTTCTCGGTAAGGTAAATCACTCTCAGAATTTGGAGGTTGCAATAGAGACACTCGTCGACTAGTAATTTCAGTTTCTGATGTTGAAGGTGGATGTAATGAAACTCTTCTACTTGGTAAATCCTTCCATTTTTGTGCAACTGTTTTTATTTGTGTGTAGAATTGCACACCAGCCTTCCCTGCAATTCAGGAAGAAAATAAAGATGCTTGGTGGGTATTGGAAGAAAAATAGTTGGTGCAGATGCATAAACACAGAGAGAGAGAGAGAGAGAGACCGCAGAAATTGAGATCACCAGCGCAAGACGTCTCAGATCCATTAAAACAAGAAAATGGCAATGGAATTGGAACAGGAACATTTATCCCCACCTAAATTAATCCCACATCTTCTCAGCTAAGATTCAAAATTTTAAAATTGAGATGAACATCCTCAAACAATTCTTGGTTTCTAGATGTCAGACAGAGAAGTATGGCTTACCAGCCCAGCCTCAATTTCATTCTGGAAATTCCTTGCAGCAATACCAGATGTGGTGAATATAGAAGCACCATTTCCATACCTTAAATAACAGGAGATCAATACCATTAAAGCCGTGAAGTATTTCAAAGAAATCAGATTTGCATTGGGGGTCATTGGGTTTCCACTATAACAAATTAATAAAAGAAAAAAAATTCAAAATTTCAAATATTTGATCATTCCAGAGAGAGACATAGAGACATGGTTTATAAAAGGACAGAATTAAATCATAGTAATCATAGTGCATTTCTTTAATTATACCAGACAGAGAGACAAAGAGACAGAGAGACATGGTTTACAAAAGGACAACCAAATCACATTAATCATACTGAATTTCAACTTAATTTAAACAAGTAAATAAATAATAAGGGCCATTACCCAGTGCTGATAACACTAATATGCAGTGGATAAAAACCCAAACTAAACATATGATATCAATAACAGAAATAAGAGTTTAAGGCAATTACTTGTTTCTATTGACAATAGTTATGGCATCTTCTAAGCTGTCAGACTTTAGTGATCAAAAAAAGAGAATATATGTTAGCTAATCACCATATATTAACAATGAAATAAAGTCATTCATAAAAGAAATGGAACAATCACCAACTTAAGAATACCTGCATACAAAGGAGAACTGGTCCAAAAATTTCTTCCTGCCAAACACAAGTATATAGAGGGCTCAAAAATATGAATCATAACCTAAGGACATGTTTGATTAGTGGGATAAATAGTGAGCAGATTAACAATCCATAAAGTTAGTGTAGGATTGGTTTTTCAGTTGGATTGGTGAGATAAATAATTTCCTCTTGTCCAAGTTCGTTTTTCAATAAATATGGAAATATATAATCCCAATTATATGTATGTTTTGTGCTATTAGTTGTAGGATTAAAAAATCTGTTAATTTTGTTGGATAGAATGGCCAAATCTAATCCGAATAATAAAATTTACAACCAAACAATGGAATGTGAGTCCCATGAATTAATAATCTCAATCATCCTATGCTATAGTCCACCCAATCAAACAATCCCTAAACACATTAACAGAAGTATTGGAAACATAAGGAGATACCTTGTAGCACTCCATGCTGGTTGTAACATCACATAGGATGGTCGGACCCACAAAGTTTCCATGCTCATACTGCGGAACCTACACAAAAAGTTCTGATTCACAGAAGGTGTGCAAGGGACAAGATGAGGCTCATGTTATTAGAATCACACCTTTACATCAACCCAGCGAGGGAAGCAGTTCACTGGATGAGAGGTTCAACTGATTAACTGTTAATCAGTTGAACCGTTTGATTATGACCTTCAAGTTATTTATAAGTTCTGTTATGTAATTATTCTTGTATAAAGATAAGCATAAATAAATATTAATTTAGGTACAAGACTACCAAAGAAAATATTTAGGTTCAAGTTTTCAGAAGCTCTAAATTGTACACTTCGTTAAAATGGCAAAAAACCAGTTCAACTGATCCACTCCAGTTTGCAGAAAACTATCCCGTGCCACCCCTTCCCTCAGTTATCCCTAAATTCATGACATCAATGATTATGGAACCAACCCAACCATTAGTTATTTAAGTTTTGTTCTAACAAAATTATGCATCCAATTGTTTGTTCATGTATCCTCATGTTAAAACCTACACCTACTACACCCAACCTACACCTACTACACCCACTACCACCTACCACACACACTCACCTACTTCACCTACTCCTCACCTACTCCCAAATCCTCTCCTATATAATAGGAATCCTTGTACTTGTAATATACACTATACAGATATATCAATCAATAATACAATTCTCTATTTCTCTTTATACATTAAATTTTCTACAATATATCAGAAAATTAGAAATATAATTCCTAAGCATACAATGATAAATAGATTTGCACCAAAATAGTAATTGCAAACATATAGTCAAATAATGAACAATGCTCAAACAGGGAGGTATAAGGACACTATGATGCCCATAACATCTGAACTGGGTATATTTGATACAAGCAGCAGTACATATTCAAAATAGTTCTTTTAAACTTGACCAGTCCCAGGGCTGGAGAAAAATTTTACTGGTAAAGTTGAATTATTGGATCAACTTTAAGTATGATTTTATACTTTTAAGTGACCCCATTATGATTATACATTGAATCAACTTCAAGGATGAAATAGGGTATTCGAGCATCACAAAAGACAAGCACATGGCCTTCCATGTGAAGTTAAACACCTCCATAAACTTTTGGAAAGTCATAACAAACATCAATGTAGAATAAGGTCATCCATGATAATCCTTTTACAAACAGATATTCCACCTCTTCCTCAACAGTCCTTCAGAAAATCTTTATAATGTCCCAATAAAAGAGGGCGTAAAAGATGATGCACTCAAAACAGACAACACATCACATAGTCAAGTGTAAGCTTTAAAATTAACAAATTTACTCTTGCATACATGAACCATAAGAGGCTGATTGCATCATGAAACAGTTTGTATGCACAGAATGAATCCATCAATTTTTTTCCCAGTGTCTAGATTAAGATAATGAGTCACCATGTGACACATATTACTTCCAATTCCAGCCTACATTTGAATCAAACTGTCCAATATTCCAAGGACACAGGAACACCTTGTACTCTTAAATCCATTCTGATCCTAACCACAAACAAATCCATCACAGCTAGTTTTGACAACATACTGACATTAATGCAAAGAGCAGTACTAACACAAAAAGTTGGTTTTGTTAGTGAATGTTCAATAGGAGATTGCTAAATCCCTATAGGGGTATACACAACAACCCCTCTCTCAAAACATGGGGCCTGCTTATGTGAGAGAGCAGTCTGTGGATACAGCATTAATGCAATGGATTTAGCAATCTCCTATTACCTAACCTTAGAGAGATCAAGTCAAGCAGAGTTTGGTATCATCAATAAATGCATACATTAAAAGATTCAGGAAACACATGCATACCACAATGTCTCTTCCATCAAGAATTAGTCTAGCACCACTTTTGACTCCACTCTCAACTAATCTGCATATTTGATCCTTTGCCTGTGAATTCAGAAAGCAAGTCAAAGACCAAATAACAACGCAAATAAAATGAACACACAACACATGCAGTATGTTAAGCAATCAGACTCCAGCTCGTCAAACACCCATAGACTGCAGGTGCTTTATAATTCTATCATACTAAGCAAATAAAACTTTTCCATTTAACAAGAAAAAGTTAAAGCATAACAATTAACTACAAATGTCATTTTCCAATAAGGCATGGCAAGAGTTTCCAAGGTATACTAGCACCTCTTTAGTAATAACTGGTCCAAGGTCTGCACCAGGTTCTGTTCCCACATTTACTTTAAGTGCTTTGGCACGATCCACAAGTTCTTCCTCCCTGGAAATGATTATATAATATCATTGCCCATGTAAGGCATATTACATGCATAATTTGCTCAAATTCCAATAGCATTGGACTTGCTTAATTGAAAAAACCTGAGTTCATCACAACCCAAACTAGAGAAGTGGTTGGATACATAAACCGAAATATAACAATACGGTTACCTGGAATAAAACCTAATAGTGACTAGAGACAAGAAAAACTCCACAAGCAACTGAGAAGGAAATTGAGTTCTTTGTGCAAGTGTGCATTGGTTTGGTGGCCAAAAGAAGAGGATTCTAACCGAAGGAGTCAAAAATGAAACCAAACTACCACAATATCTCATATGAAGTACTTCATGGATAAGCATACACAAAGATTCCTTGGCAATTGCAAAAAATCATACATAATGAGATCCAAAGTCTACAGAATGAATGGATAGAAACATAAAGAGTCAACCAGCAAAAGGTGCCGAGGGCATAACTCATGGCTAAGTATTAGTGTCTAAAGGTAGTTATATCCTTTGTTCCTTTAGTCTTTTATTATAAATATGTGTAAGGGAGAACCCTAATATGATTCGAGTATGTTAATAAACACAGTCATTCTCTCTCTCTCTCTCTCTCTCTCTTCTTCTCCTCATTCTTTTCTTTCTCTCATGCAAATCTAACATGGTATCAAAGCTTCATCTTCCTCCTTCAAAATTCTTCTCCTTGTTCCTTGTTCCTTGTTTCATTCGTTTTTTCCTGCACACAGCCAAAAAAATAAAATATAAAATAAAATAATAATATAAAAAAATCCTTCATGGTCGAAATTTGATGGGTTTTCACCCTAGATTTTTATTTTAATTTTTTGGTGAGTGTTTGAGTGTTTTTCCAATTTTTGTTGATTTTTTAGAAAAACTGATTGATTTTTCGACAGTCGTTGATGAGGCTGTTTTTTTGCTAACTTTTTCCTTCCTCCCTCTACCTTGGAAGCCAACTGGCACTACAATAGGGTTGGGAGACCTGGTTTTGATGATTTGGCAAGGTTCCACTTTGTTTTTGTCGATTTTCCTCAGCATAGTTTCTCTCAGTTTTTGACTGTTTTGGCCTCTCTAGCCCATGTTTCGGCTCTATTTTTGTCTCTAGAGGTAACTTTTGTCCCTAAGTTGAGTTTGTGGATTTGCCTCTGTTTGTTTTTTTGCTGGTTTTTGAGCTGGTATTTGTTTTTCATATTCTGGGGATATAATTTTCAATGGCTGAGGGTGAGACTAAGGATACAATTAGTGATGAAGGTGGGATGCGTCGTGTTATTACTCTTAACGACAATCCCTCTCTTCAAATTAGTTCCGTTAAACTGGATGGTTCCAACTATTTGATTTGGTCACGCTCCTGTAATCTTGCTATTGCTACTTGCCATTTGACTGGCTACATTACTGGTTCTCTTCCCTTACCGGATGGTGATGACTCAATACGTACTCAATGGATTTTTGAAAATGCTCTTGTTATGACTTGGCTCATCAACTCTATGTAGCCCACCATTAGTCGGAGTTTCCTCTTATTGCACACTGCTCATAAGATTTGGACCGCTATAGCCTAGTGTTAGAATTTCCCATCTTTACCTTCACCTACTCCACTACACACTCCACTTCACCTACCTCCACTTCACCACACACTCCACTTCACCTAACCCACTATCACCTCCACTACACCTACTATTTACTTCTATATATAGATTGTATAGGAATTGTAATTAACATCTGTCGGACAGTTTACAGAGTCTTGTCGGACCCTTAAAAAAGTTGCACCTCAAAAGGTGTACCCAATTTTGTCAAAGGCGTGCCATCAAAAGGCGTGCCCAATTCATCAAAAGGCGTGTCATCAAAAGGCGTGTCATCAAAAGGCGTGTCCACTTTGTCAAAAGATGTGCCATGAAAAGGCGTGCCAGTTTGTCGGGTGGCAAGAGCGCGCGATACGCGTGGCTGCCTCGGCTATTTAACCAAGACGGAAGGCTGAGGCTGAGGCTACCATTCTGAAAACCTCTTGAAACCAACCCTTCGCTGAAAAAAAACTCTGCCTCTGCGGAGAGAGAAACGTTGGAACACTTTGTTGCCATTCTGTACCAACCTTCCGAACAATTACCAGTCTGAAATTGCTATTCGCTGAAAACACTTAGCAACCAAAAAACATGGCCTCTTCTTCCGTCCAGCTACCCAGAACCTGCTCACCTCTTTCCAGAACTGAAACGAGCCCACAGAGAAATAACTGGTGCGGTGGCCAGTGAACCTCAACCAAACACCTCTGTTTGCTCCATTGAACTTTTCCGATGCGGTCGGTGGAGCAAAAAATGGCGGTGCAAAACTGATATTGAGGCTAATCAGTATACTCTGAAGTCATGCGTGGAAACATGACGGCGGTTCACAAATTTGTCGAAACCGGCTGCAGAGTAGGACAAATGAGGTGCAGCATTTAAACTCCCAGCTGGCCTGCTCCAACGAGTGTATAAGGATGCGCGAGCAGAGTATAAGTGTGGTGACAAGAAAATAAGGACTGAAGCGGAAGGCCACCGTGATGTGGCGATTTGGAGGTCCCCATATGCTGCAGTGGAGAGCAGGGGAGGCAACTTGTTGGTAGTCTAGGAAACACGGAGACCGGACCTGGCACGGGACACCAAGATAAAAGTAAGAAGAGAGACCGGTAATAGAATAGAGAAGGAAAGAAGAAATCCCACTTGGGTGTGGTTGTTTTTTTGTGGGTTTTTTTTTTTTTTTTTTTGTGTAAAATTGATTCGGGGTGAGCCCGATAAAATAAAATGAGTTTGCAGTTCGTCTTCTTCTCTTTGTTTTTTTTTTTTTTTTTTTTAGAATAATAAGAATAATAAAAATAAAATATGAATGGAGAAAGCAGATAGTGGGGAAACATGCGTGGGTGGAAAGATGGAAACCAAAAAAGTATGAGTGGGAAAAAGTAAAGTGAGAAAAAGAGGAGAGAGAGGGGAGATGAGTGGGTGCAGGAGTGGTTAAAAAAATAAAAAAGAGGATGGATGAGACGGCTGCCAGGCTAGGAGATGATGTGAATGTTTGTGTTAAAAAAAGAAGAGAAAAAATAAAAATTTGTTGAAAGCAACTTCTGGAATTTGATGCACTGTTAAAAAATTTGTGGAGGTTTGAAAGAAGGTGAAGACCCCAAAGAGGGTGGAGGCCGGAAGAATGTTGTTTTTCCACTGCCTGCGAGAGAGTTCGAGATCGAGAGCTTTGGTTTTGAAGATCAGGAGGAGCGATGTTCGATGAGATTGAGCAGAGAAGGAGGAGGTGAAACTGTACATAAACGCTGGGGATGAGCGGAGAGGAAACGGACGGTGGAGATCGATTCCGTTCACGCATCCATCGACGATCGAGACGGTTGCGATGGATTCGGATCTCAAGAACAAAATCAAATCGGATCTCGAATCGTTCCTCAAATCGAAGCAGTACTATCACCGACTAGGCCGAGTCTGGAAGCGGAGTTACTCTCTCTACGGTCCCTCCGGTACGGAAAATCTAGTTTCATCGCCGGAATGGCAAAGTTCCTCTGCTACGATGTCTACGATATCGATTTATCGAAAGTTATCAACGATTCAGATCGGAAGTTGCTCTTGTTGCAGACGACGAACAAGTCGATGATCGTGATCGAAGATCTCGATCCGGTACTTGGCTGAGAAATCAACGGCTGTGAGTTGTCTGGGATTTTGAATTTCATGGATGGGATTATCTCGTGTTGCGGTGTTCGGTCCTTCAATACCTGAGATGGAAGAGGGCGACGGAGGCAAGTGACGCGAGGAGGCGAAAGGCCGTCGACGCAATATGGTGGTAATGGGCTGTGGAGGCTACACAACGCAGAATTTGGTGGGAAATGATTTCGTGGGAAAAGGGTTTCAACGATTACTCTGATTGATGAAACCATGGCGTATCATCTGCGTGTTTGGAAGAGAAGGATGTGGTATCATCTGTGGCGACTGTGCTTGCTGATCTTCGCAGCCGCCGGAAATTGATGACGAGGAAGATGACTTCGATTCGGAGAAGAGAACTATTGTGAAGAAGAGTAAAGGTATGTGTTTGTGATATGTGTTGAAAAACTCCTGCGGCAGCAGCGAAGGCAAGGTTGCCGGCCAGCTGCCCGCCGGAAAGAAAGGAGTATAGGCCTAATCTTATTGCTCTGATACCATGTTAAAATACTGTATTATTGATTGATATTCTTGATTGATTGATTACAAGATTTTGATAAAT